TTCGTGGTCGAACACCATTTTCGGTGCTTAACAGCCCATTTTCGGGATCCCGAACTGCGTGTTTTGGCTCCCGAACTTTCGTTTTGCAACGGTTTTCGTTCATTTTTGGCAGGTACCTCTGTTTTATCACTGGAAAGGTCACTGAAAGGTGGGAGGCCAACAATTGTTGCAGCAGCCAGTTATCTCTCCTCCGGAGCCTCCCGGCGCCCGTTTTTCCAACTTCCGGGCTAATGTTGAACACCCTAGGGTTAGTGTCGCCAACATTCAACCACATATCTGTGATCTACACACCTGAGAGGCCCCTAAAAGTTGGTGGCCGGCCATTAAGGTTACCTGACCCTTTTGACCCCTTTCTTCCGGGCTAATGTTGAACCCCTTGGACCTTTTTTCTTGAACTTTCAACCACATATCTGTGATCTACACACATGAGAGGCCCCTAAAAGTTCATGGCCGGCCAGTAATTCAAATTGACCCTTTTGAACCCCTCTTTCCGAGCTAATGTTGAACCCCTTAGACCTCCTTTCTTGGAATTTTAACCACATGGTTGTGTTGTACACACATAGGAGTACCTCCCCTGTAGCTGGCCGGCCAGAAAATCTCATTGAACCTTTTGACCCCTAGCCGGCCGGCTAGGGGGTGTGGCCGGCCGGCCACCTCCAACAAAAGTGAGAGGCCGGCCGTGTTCCTTGCACTGTGCACTTTATAGCTGTGTGGCAATATCCCCCAGATATTATCTGTATCCGGGGGATATTTTGTGGGGGAATTTTGCTCTCCTTTTCCCCACCTTTACACCCCCTTTTGAACCCTTATAACCAGCTGGTGGCCTCCTTTGTTGGGGTTAGAAAAACTCTCCTTCAAGCATCCATACTCATCTCCATCTTCATCCTTCTCAATTCTTCAAAAAACCCTAAGTCCCTAACCATCATTCCTTCTACACCACCAAGCTCTACCACCACCATCTCATTTCCAGCAACAAGGAAGGATTCTTGAAGGCCAAAGAAGCTGCAAATCCATCCAAGAAGCAACAAAAGTTTGAGTCTTCAAGGGTAAGTAATACTTTTACCCTTTTGACCTTTTTTTTTGATCTATTTCTAAGCCCCACTTTCTTTTTGTTTCAAGCTCCGTCCCTAACTGAAAAGGGCCATATTTTGAGCTCATCTTCACTTTTCATGAAGGGCTCAACCCTGTTTGAGCCCTCCATAATATACTTGCTTCATTGATCCTCTTGTATGTCATAGTTTTGCATGCTATTTTTGACCCATGAGCAATTTATTTTTGAGCATGTTGTAAACTGATCTTAGGCTTATTTTGAGCCCCTCTTCAACATTGGAGAAGGGCTCAACATTGTTTGATGCTTCCATGTGTCACTTGTAGTTATATCCCCTATTTGGCTCCATTTTTGCATAAATTGGCAGTCCTCTTTGCATATCACATTTTTAGCATATTTTTATACTGATTTTGAGGCTGCCATATACTGTAAATATTCATATTTTTTGTCCCTCTTCAGTGTTGTAGAAGGAAAATTTTCAATTTGGGTTTTGCTTATACCACTTGCTTCATTACCCCTCTTTTGGCCCCTATTCTTGCATGCCATTTTTACCATACCTATGCTTGTTGTTTGGCCATGTTTATAACTGTGAAAGTGCATCTTTTGAGACTGTCTAGCTTCTGTCTTTGCATTGCATGTCCATATTGTGCATGTTTAACATAGTTATAGGCCATTTCGGGTGCCTAAATTCACATTTCGGGACA